CTACGAAATAGGAGGGTAGGTTTACTCGAGTAACTAAAGGCTGCCTTCAGGTAGACCCCATTGACAGTTTTCAGGATACTTGGTAATCTTCTTTCGGGTTGGCTGTTGGATCAGCTGTGTCTACGCATGAGTTCCGATTCAGCACGGCGTCTTGTAGGCGTCTCGAGCAGCGCTCTGCTGCTTCTGGTGGCGGCCTTTAGTATCACAACTCTGGTGGGAACTGAAGCTCTCTCTTATATATAATCAGAGCGCAGTTCGGCTAGAAAGGGGGCCTTTTTTCAGTTTCTCTACCTCCCATTGTCGCGTCGAGTCATTAAATTGAGAATTCTGAAATTTTATTAAGCATGAAGTGAAACCAATCTTTATTCATAGAAACTACTTGTCGATTTTTGTAAAGCAGTGAACGCGACAGTGGGAAACAGCGAAGGTGTTACATGCCCCCTCTCCACCTAGTCGAACTGCACCAAAATCTGTTGTTTATCTCAATTGTTGCACTTTTTTCAACGATTAATCGATTTCCAAGGAAGTCCTCTTAGCTATCCGTTAGACCGTTAGACCTTAAGACGTATTCATACTTTGCAACAGAAGAATAGAAGATTTGATGAGTAAACACTTTGGGAGAACGTGCATTACTATCGACCCCATCCATTCCGACTAGTGTGCTCTCTCCCGAAACGTCAGTACGCTGATTCTCTTGTTCTCTTGTCGCGGGGTATGAACCCAGTTTGAGAGCTCTCAAGCTTTATCTGTTTAACGAATCACTGCTCTTTGCCATACGTTTTCGGGCGTAGAGTAATGGCGTTCCCTATTCCGCTATGTCGCGAGGAGAGGTGGGGTCAGTTGGTAAGCTTTCGGAAATTTGCCCAACAATTTGGTGAAATCGTGTGAACTATGAAACGCTAGCACTCTTCTAAAAATTTGCGAGACCTTATCTGGAATTTGGGTCATAGTGTCATAGTACCTGGAATTGAGCGAGATAAACCACTACAAGTGATTTTGGATTTTGGATATGTGAGCTGCTTCTCACGAAACGCGGAAACCACTTCCTGAGCGAGGAACTGATTACCCGTTCCTATGCTCCACTAACACTAGCTGCAAAACCTCACTCCTTGCTCACTCGCTTCGCATATTTTTCCAAAACTAAATTTCATCCGACATTTCAAACATCCGGAGAAATGGCGCGCAAATGTGACAAACGAACTTCACAGAAATTTACATGACTTTACTAGAGTGCCCATTGTGTCAAAAGCAGTTCGCGAAGTGTGTCACAAACGGCGCTACTCGGCCTCGGGGGGGGGGGGAGGGAGCATTTCCCCAAGTCGCTAATCCATCTTGCTAACTCCTGTTGAACTACCACTTTGGTGAGACCTTAGACACTTGTCAAATGTAAAAGAAGCTCGTTCTTGTGAATAGTTGAACAGGAGTTCACAAGACTACCCAAGATGCATAGGCAATGGTCGATGAGAGCCAGAAAATACTCCCAGCAACCCGAACTGCGTCTGCAGGGTCCGCCTCTTCCCCTCCTGTAGCGTGTGAGTGCTGTAAGGCTGTGTCACAAAATCCATTAAGTCACTAAGCTGAGGGTAAGAGTGGCTCTGATGGCGTCACGGTTAGCGCATTCGTCCGGTAAGAGTGAGCCGCGGGTTTGAGTCCCGCTTGGGGTCAAGACTTTTACCTATAGCTCAGTATTCTTGTACTTTGACATCATTTCATAAATCAGTATGTCTAAATCGTTTGTGTTCATAACTAGTTGTTCTTCTTATTCATAATTGTATTTCTAGCAATATGTGTCCGTTGTTGGTTGGTCGCTTGGCTTCCTAGTGAATGCTTCTATCAATGTTTGGTGCATGATAGCATCACAACTGGGCGACAGTCATGTCTCTGGAGCTATTTCGGCATTTGTTTCATTTCTAGCTAACTGTGAGTGAGATTTTTGAGCTCTTCAGCACAAAAGTGTGCTCTTTTTTTAAGTCAGTAGCACTAGTCCAAGCGGTTCAAGTTTACCCACGGATTCTGTAATTGCGCGGTAATCTACTGTTAGGTTATCCTTACTTGTTTCACTTTTCGGACCAGGAATATAGACCAGGGGATCGCTGCTCAAGCCTCTGAAGCCTGATAACGCTGCTCAGGAATGCCATAGTCTTCGAATGATTAAAATGTAATATAAGAGCATGTTCGCTCTTTGCGTCAACGTACGGCAGTGCCTTGAACAAAATTACCCCCTGACACCATAACGCCCTGCGGTCTCTATGCAACCCCTGGCTAACAAATCGCTTTTTCGCATTTCCAGTAGAAGATATCATCCAATGCAAAGAAAAGAATACGAAAAACAACAAAAACACGGACGAAAAGCTCTTGACCAAAACAAAACTGATTGCGTCCGAATTTGGGGTTACGGTAGCGTGCATCTTTTAGTGCATGTCGAGCTTTTGCACCACGAAAATTGCATCACTCGTGATTTTTACGCGTTTTACCTTGCGAGATGGGTTGCAGTTGACTGTATGTGCTCCTAATGAATAAAATGTAATAAAGGAGAGCAGAATTATTTATGGGCACGAGCGCGGTCAGCAAAAAGGACATGCAGTTCCGCCGTCCCAACAAAGAACAACTGAGCGGCCCTCCGTCAGAGGGCATCTAGCAAG